CCACCACCACCACCACCACCACCACCAACAACAACAACAACATCAGCGACTTGAGAGGTTTACAGGAGAAAACAGTCCAGCGTGAGCAACATGTTTTGAGATTGAACAACTCCGCCACCCACCCAAAAAAAACAACAACAAAAAAACAAAAAACAAAACAAAACAAAACAAAAAAACCAAAACCAAAACAACCCAGCAGCAACAACAACAACAACAATAACAAAAACAACAACAAAAACAACATAAAAACACACAATAAAAAAACAAAACAAAACAAAACAACAACAAACCAAACAAAAAGCAAAACAAAAAATAAAAATAAAAATCCAACTCACCATCAGTATGTCTTGATCTTATGGACTCGTATGTGTTGTCTGTCTCCGCCCCCGAACCGTCATCTGTCACATTGATTGACACATAGCTAGACTCCTCCTCCTCATCCGCTCCTGTCTGCTTGCTGTTGATGTAGTAGCTCACACACAGAGCCATGCTGCCTCAGGTTCCAATCCTGTGACTCTTCGCTTTCTGCCGCACATCGATCTGAGTATGTTCGGGATTTGTCCGACAAGCCATGAAGATATTTGATGATTGTTTTGTTTTGTTTCGTTCTGTTTTGTTTTTTGTTTTCGTCCTGGAAGGGAATGAGTTTTCAATAATGTCGTTGATCTTGAGGTTGAGTTTGAGGTGCACGCTGTTTTTTCCACACCCTTACGGTTGTCAGAGTTCACTCTCCCAAATACTCCATGTACGTTGCTCAGAGCTGGTCTCTCTAGAGGGAATACCAAAAGTTACAGTCAGATAAAGTCTCCACACGATGGACACTGAACGGACAATATTTCCACTTCTGAAATGACAGTTTTGATATCTGTTCAGATTGCTCATTGCCCCACATACAACATAATATACAAGAATAACGGCAGGAACATTGACAACGAGAACAAGAAAAATAATAACAACAATAACAACAATAACAACAAAACAACAACAGCAGCAGCAATATCAACAACAAAAACAGCAACACTATAGTAGCAACAAAAATAACAGCATGTTCATGACCCCACACAGCCCATGATAATAATGTTATGATATTCACATTTCTTAATGCTGGCCCTACAAAGCCTATGATAATAATATATTCCATATTTCTGTAGGCATATTTAAACATTCCCTGTCCATGTCCAGAAAATAAATTGTTGATTTTACAATACAGGGAAAACTTACTTTTGTGACAGACCTTGTACTGCTTCAGATGATCAGCTCTGAACTGTAATAACACTCGCACAGTATCATACTCCAACCTGAGGAGAAGACCAAAGAAACTGATTAAATCAAAATGCACATACACAAGCGCACACTAACACACATAAAAACAAACAATCACAAACATACATACACACACATGCACACATATGTGAGTATGCACATATTATGCCCGTGAGCGCAGACACACACATGCACGCATATACATACCCCCCCCCCCACACACACTCACGAACCAAGCATTCTCACGCACCGGAAAACTAAAATAGCAAGTAGACATAACAAAGCGTATATGCACAGAAAGGCACAAACTAAAATGCAGACACACTCAACAAACCATATGCACAAAAACGCATAGACAAACATGCAGACATACTCATACACATATTCATACATACTAATACACACACACTCA